AAAATGTATCAAACTAAAACAAATCTGACATTTGACAAATGAAAAGATTTTAATAACTATGAAAAATTCAAATCAAAGGATCTTGCAATTCGTATTTTGCTTAGTTTTATGAAAAAGTTAGCAAAAATCAATGTTACTTGAATATTGAACTGAGTCAAAATAACTAATGTAAATGAAAATGCATTATTGAATTGAAATGAATCAAACATGAAGTACAAACAACTACAATCTCAGCGAATATATTGTAAAGATGCTACATTTCCACCTCAAGTTATGTATGTTTTTAATTTATAAATTGCACATAGAACTTCCGATCTATGTGATGGAAAAAATAAATTTTCTAAATTTTAATTATTTGATAAATAGAAAAAAAAGGAGTAAGTAAGAGGGGTGATCAAAAAGTTCGAGAACTAATTCAATAACTTCCATAAAAGAAACAATTTAATGTCAATATTGATTATATTTTAGAATAATCCCCTCCAATTTTAATGCACATCAACCACCGTTCTGCGCATGCGCTAATCACGTGATATTGACGGTCACGTGACCCACTTCGAAGCGTTCTGTCACAAAAGTTGAAAGATTTTTCTAAATTTTATATTTCTTTCCATGTAAGTTAATTTTTATGACAAGAACAGTTCATTTGTTCGAAATGGTCAAATCTCGGCAACAGAATGGGTGGAAAAGAATATCCATAAGCATAGCGACCATTAAAACACAAATCTTCTGTCTCAGGAGAGACAAAAAGAGGTGAAAAGAGGTGAAAAGAGTCTGGGTGCATTATTATTATCTTATCTAACATGTTTAAAATCTAAAGTAAAACAATATCGTAGGTATTTTAAAATCATACTATTGTTCAGATATTCATCTATTTCTCAAAGTGTAAATTAGAGGTCTTTCATTCCAAATTGCTTAATTAAAAACACACATCTTTTCAAACTTGCTTCCACCCCGTGGGGATCCGAGTTAGAATATGTCCTCAGTACCCCCTTGCTTGTCGTAAAAGGCGACTAAATGGGGCGGTCCTTTGGATGAGACCGTATAAACCGAGGCCCCGTGTCACAGCAGCTGTGGCACGATAAAGATCCCCCCTGCTCAAAGGCCGTAAGTGCCCAGCACAGGCCATAATAGCCATTCTCTAGATCTGTAACCACTTAAACTTCAATGCCACGCATGGTCACCGATTTTGATGAAACTTCACCTATGCTTAGTAATTGACCCCAGAAACAAATATCAAACAAAATTTCGTTGCTATGTGTCTCGGTTGCTATGGCAACAGTCGGAAAAGTTTAAAAAATCGAGATTTTCAGCCAGTTTAAATCTTGACTGTGGCTTAATAAAAACTAGAAAAATCAAACAAACCATTCTCACAAAAACATGACACCTTGATGTCACTTATACTGTAAAGAAACTGTTTAGAATATATCTCTAAGTAAGTGGTAACCAAGGGTACATTTGGAATACATTTAAAATGCTGAAATATGCTGAAAAACACTCCGTATTCACTAATGGTAGGTGTTACATGCTCAAACTCAATTAACGACTTAAGAAATTGTTTAACCTTAAGTATTTAAGTATAAGCGATATTATTCTATAAATAACTTTTATTGTTGCCATGGTAACAAAGTGTAACCATGCAAAACCAGTAACTAAGATTAGTTTAATGCTACTGTCTTGAGGAAAAACATGAAATTCAAGACTGGCAAATTAGATCCCTAGGACCTTGCAACACCAAAACCATAAGAAAATTTGGGTACCATTCCTACTTTGCAGTGTTACCATGGAAACAAAGTACCAGTGCTTAAATGTGAATTATTTTTTGCTGCATTAAGAATTAAATTGCCATTTAATCAAACAAATTAAAGGACTCAGCTTGATTAGTACGTATCTGTTAGAACTGAAGTTGAATATCATATATTGATAAAATTTGATGAATAAAACAACACTGTTGCTATGGTTACCAAGAAGGGAAATGTTCGATTTTGTGAACTTTATATCAATATTAAACCTTGTGTGCCAACTTCTTGCATCCACTTAGAAATTTGATGATCGTCAAGATTAAAAGTCAAGTTAGCTGTTAATAATTATCAATCATAAAAGTTTTGGGAATGTACATTTAAGGGTACGTATCCAAGGAAAGAAAATATTTTTCAGGTTTTTAAGCATATATTTTCTGCTTATTTCCATAGCAACGCTCTATTTAAAGAATCTAGTCTGAATTTTTTCAAATTGGAAAACTTGGAGCACACCGACATCTTATAAAATTGATTATTACTTATGAGGAAATATGCTTTTTTTAAAAGATAGGATCAGATTTAAACATACAGAGTGTTACTTTGAAGGCTCTCTGTGGTATAAAAACCTTGGCAACCATTGCCAACCAAAATGAAATATCATATTTTGTTCTTGGTATATGTTTCAAGGCTCTTTTTTCTATCATTTGGTCACATTTCATCCTATAATTGTTTTTTTTTTTATTTTTACGTGTATGACTTTATAAAACTCAATGAACATTTTTTATTACCCTTGAATAATTGTTACCATAGTAACGTATGTAATAGTTGATTTACCAAATATGTTTATCATGCATTTGAGACATCTGACCTTCAACTTTTGGAAACAGTCATTGCCAATTGTTTGCTTTGCCGCAAATGTTAACTATGGGGCTCTAAACATGTTAAAAAATGCCATTTTTCGAACTTTAAGACATGTTGCCATGGTAACTATAAAACATAGCAACCAATTTTTGCCTGATTTCAGTTTAGGGTATCAATGACTTTTATCATACAGAGTTTGGAGAAATTCTGAGACTTTGCGTGCCACAGCTCCTATATAAAATTTCAAATCATTACAGAGAATGGCTCTTAAATTGCAGCCCTTCAACGGCAATGGTGACGTCTCCATATCAGTGAAATATTCTGGAGAGGGACGCCAAACAGTACAAAATCAAGCAATCAATCAAACTTGCTTTCACTGGGCAAGATGACAAGTATCACTTTTAACAATCTGCCGAATTCCATTCTAATCTGTATTGTGATTTGTAGATATAGAGATAGTTCGCAAACTTTTTCATCACCCCTCGTATTGTATAAAAATTGGATAATTTTTTTTTCTCAAGACGAAAACAGTGCAATCATCAAGAAAGTAATGATGTTAGGCAGTTTTTTCTGGTCATTAAATATACTCTTGCGTATCATTTAGCCAAGAAAAGTACAGTCTACTTATACATATACATGACGTATTTTTTATTCTTTTGTTGACGTATTCTTTTATTCTGTCTCAGTTATTATTTTACCATTCCATGGTAATTTCAAAGTTTTGATGCCCCGAATAAAGTTTATGCAATGGAAAGGTCCCTTTGAGATAGTGAAGAAATTGGGGAAAGTTGATTAAAGAATAAACATGAACGGCAATCAAAATTAAGACATTCCATGCAAATGTGCTCAAGTCATATTTTGACAGGAAAGAATGTTGTGTTGTGCTGGTATCTTGGGTGTTGCTAGCGCAGCTATGGTGAATGTTGAGGAATCATGTTAGTGTTTAAATAAACCGGTGCAATCAAGTAAATAAGTAGTGCGCTTTATATAGTGTCTTGTATTGAGAGAGAGAAAGAGGGAGAGATATTATTTTTTAAATTTATTAAGATATCACTTCAAAGAAATAAATGAGCATTCATATGGTAGACAGTATCTTCTTGGATGATGTATCAACTCGCTATATTAACCAAATTATTTTGAGCTGCTTTTATTTTATTTATATGTAACAGGCCTGAAGCAAGCAATGTCAGTTAAAGGGGGGGCACAACCAAACAATATCTTGGGAAGCCAAAATGAATTTTTTTTTATTGAGGAGGCTCGAGTAAAGACTAGCTAAGTTTTCTCTATTTCATTATTTATTTATCGACTTCATTATTGGGGGGGGGGCTTATCCAACCCTATTTTTGTCTTTTCTTGCTTATTCTCCCTGGAAAGGGATTTGGCCCTTCATTTAAACAATTTTAACTCCACATCATGCAAGAATGCTTTGTACCAGGTTTGGTTATAACTGGCTCTTTGGTTCTTGAGAAGAAGTTGAAAATTTGAAAAGTTTACAGACAAATGAACAAAGGGTGATAAAAAGAGCTCACTTGAGCTTTCAGCTCTGGTGAACTAAAAGATTCTATGGTATGCCTCAGCAAAGAAAATGCTAAAATAGCAAGAATCTGCAATGAGTAATTGTGACCAAAGATTTGTTACAGATAGATAGAAAGGCACATAAGGGTAAGCGGTATACCTCCCTCCTTTGGAGCAAGGGTATAACCAAAACACATGAGAGGCCAACAGGCCACTACCTCAAAAACTATTTCTTTCATCATTTAATGAAATTTTGAAAAACACAACTTAATCTCTACTTATTTTATTATTTAATAAATGCATTTCATTTTATCTTATTATTGGTCACTGTCTTTACCTTTGATTAAACTGTTTCTCTTTCAAGTAATTAATATAAAAAAGTGTCTTACTCTGTCAATCCTTGACTTCTTCAACAGGCGAGAACTGCGGGTATCCGGAATTAAAAAAAATCAGTTACCATATGCCAATGCATTGCCTATATCTTTAAAAAGATTTGAAACAAATGAAAGTGAATCTAAAAGGTTATTTTAGACATTAAATGAGTAAATCAATAATAGACTTACTTCTGAGGGTACTATTTTCTTCATTCTCACTGGCGTCTGAAAAAACAAAAAAATGCTTGAATATATACTTATTACATTTTACATAGTTCATAGAGTTCCAATCAAAGAGTCCAAATTAATTTCACTCATTCTTAAAAGCAATTTTAAAGAATTCGAGTCTGTTGAGTCCACAATAAAAATGTTGACAATTCTGATGTTTGAGATGAGAATAAACTATACCATACAAATGATTTTGCCCAATTCATTCTAAAGGAATGTTAAATGTGGGGAAAACAATAAACAGTTATTGAAAATCAAAGATTAAAATGATGCTTAAATGGCATACCTCTGAGTATATAACTTTCTTGATCTTGAAAATTGTCTGTGAAATAAAATATAAATTTGTAACAATTGTACATAGTATTTATGCAGTTCTTACCAGTAAATGACATATCCAATTAAAACATAACAATCAACAAAGTTTGCAGGAATTGTAATAAGATGGTAAGAATAAAATAAAAAGAAAAAATAGCTGTCCCCTTAATTGTACAGATCTAGTGATGAGAGTAATTTTTTTTCTTCGAAAGCATAAATTAATCAAAGTATATATATATTTTTCTTCTCATGCATTTAAAAGAACTCATACCTGTTCATTTTCTTTATTGGCATCATCTTTTGTCTTTTCATCTTCAGTGGCACCACTTTTCTTCTGTTCACCATTTTTTTCAACCTGAAAAGATAACAATACAGTATTATTGGCCTATACGTTAGTGTGACTGAGATCACCAAATTTAATACACACAATGAATGAATGATTGCATCATCTTTATTATTAAACAAATTCTGAAAACAATTCACAAAAAGATTTGTAGCTTTTTATACCTGTTCATCTTCATCAGAACTTCTAGCCTCCTGGGTATCTGTCATTTCAGAGGGTGATTCCTTCTCCTGCAAATATATAACATGCTTTTGCTGAATTATGTATTTTTAAGAGCCATTCTCCATAAGAACAAAAATTTCTCAATAATGGGTGGTAAGGTGATGTCACCGATTTTGATCAAATTTTATATTTTTTACTTATTCAACACCCTTTCTTGAAATTTAGCAAAACAAAAATAATTGGGGGTTCCGTTACCATGGTAACCATACATTGCTCAAATACTGTAGTTTCATCAATTTTCGTCGGCATCAATTTTCGTGGATTTTGTAAAACAGACGTTTTCGAGGATACGTAATTTCGTTGACAAAAGCATTGCCTATACAGATGTATGTCATATTTCGCAATTCAATGAACATTTTAATTCGTGGATCTGCTAAACCACGAAATCCACGAAAATTGGTGCTCAACGAATATTGATGAAACCACAGTATGGCCTCCTAGACGCCTTTCACAGCACTATTTTTGACATTTTTTAATCAAAGATAATTAAACAACCGAAAAATTTGAATATGAAATAAATATATCTGCTTTAGAACAAGACTAAAAGCAACAAAAATGATGCAAGTTATTAACATATGTCTATCATCATTGTGTCTAATTTAATCACTAAAATCTCAATGTTTTGCTAAATTGACCATTTTTTGAAAAATGCATTTTTATACATTTTTGAGTATAAATTAAAGAAAAAAATTTCATCTCAATCAAGTATAATGTGAATTTGAACTAAACAAAAAACATACAAAAAATAAAAGTTGTGTTTTTTCTTAAATCCAAAATAATTGACTTTCAAAATCGTTGCCATGGCAACATCAGAAATATTTCAGGATAGATTTACTTGTGTTTATACATATTTTTTAGATTAAAAATTGTTGGAAAAACTAAAATTTGGATCAATCTACATGTATTGCATATTAGTGCAGAATTTTGATTTTTTAAATAAGTTTTGCTAGTTGTCATAGCAACTATATATGTCCATGTATCGTGCTTTTGTTGTAAAAAGAGACATAATTATGATCTTCGTATTCAATTTTCACGTTAAAAAATTCAATTAGCCCAACATTAATTCATTTGATTATTTCATTAAAAAATTTTAATGTGGTAATTGGCACATGCACTGTTGTCATGGAAACCTATCAAACTTTCATTTAATATAGTATGCTGTATAATGTTCTACCCCTGTGAGTTATAGTAATAATACTGGTCTTTTTAAGATCACACAGAGGGTGATACATCGTAACATTGTAATTCAAAGAAGACCCCATCTAATCATCATATGAAACAATATTGAGAAAAGGGATGAACCGTAGTTTATTCTAAAATATTTGAGTAGTTGCCATGGAAATAGCCAATTTTGAATTTTCCTTAGCAAACAGTCTTTCAGTGTTTAAATTGTTTAGACAATTGACTAAAAAGCATATTTTTCATTTGACAGCGGAAAGACAAAATTAGATTGAAATGCTTTCAATATTTTTCTTTGGTAAAGATATTTTTACAGGGTATGTTTGTTATGTGTTTTACATGTATTATGCCCCAGTAATCAAAGAATATGGGTATATACATGTTGTTTTTGCCCTCTCAACCATCTGTTTTTTTTTGTCCACGAAAACATTAACAACGTCCATAATTTTTATATTGTTGGGGTTATGGCTTTCATATTCAACACAATTTTGTATTCCCTCAACATGCGCAGATCTAGAGGGGGGAGGGTCGGGTGGTGGGGGGGGGGGGGGTCAGGACCCCCCCTGGAGTTTACCAGGTTAAAAAAATGTATATATTAAAACAAGGAAAAAGTTACCATGGACCCCCCTTGGAAAACGCAGAACCCCACTGGTAAACACGAATATGTGTAAAATGGGTATGAAAAGTTAAAGATTTGAGGCAACAGAAGGCACCACTAGCCACCCCCCCCCCCCTACCACCACCACCACCACCACGAAATAGGTTTTTGACGTTTGGGCGAGTTTAGTATTTTTCTGTTTTTGGCTTGTCAAGAAATTTCTTGGATAGATTTTTTTTTGACTGAGGTGGACCCCCCTGGGAAAAAAAAATATCTCTATCCGCGCCTGCCTCAAGATCTTTCATTGTGTACCAAAATATTTGATATCTTGACATTGGAGTATGACCAGTTTCGGAGGAATTTACCCGATTTTTACCTTGTCTACAACCCCTGAAATTTTGCGCTAAGGGTTTCATACGTTAAAGTCCTTTGCATGGATATATGAATTTATAAAATATATATTTTACCTTTTGACCTTCACCTTGGAATTTGACCCACTTTAACCTTGGGAATAACTTTTGAGCAGTTACTATTAGGACCTTTGTGTTTCATAATTGTATTCAATTCAACAAGGCCTCCCCAAACATACAAACAATATTGACATTTTGATCTTGGATGTTGATGTACTTTTGAAAAGCATTAACCATGGCCATATATTTATAGCAATTGGTGCTAAGACTTTAATATTTCACTTGTGTGTTTCTTGTAAGGCCTTCTCACTGTAATTTTATTTCACCTTTCCACCTTGACCTTGGAGTCTGACCCACATTTAACTTTAGCCACGACTGCGCCAGTGCTTTCATATTTCACACACCTGTACATTCATTGAGACATGTCGTTTCTTTGAGTAGCAACACTTTTCATTCACAAGAGGCCCATGGGCCACATCGCTCACCTGAGCACATTGTATAGGAAATAACGCTGAAATCATTTCAGTACTGTAGATCACTAAATTTTCGCGACACCTTATTTTCGCGAGATTGTCATTGACTTTTTATTAGCGAGGCAAAATTTTCACGAATTCTTGTTATTGCTCTATATATTCTTATGGAATACTATTATATGCGAGAATTTTTTTTTTGCGAGGATTCTGTCTCGCGTAATTACGCAAAAGTAAAGTTATCGCTAATAAAAAGTGATTAAAAGTATTAAGAAGTTTACATGGGGGTTGGAGTCTGGAATTTTAAATTACCAACTACCTGATGATGCTTACAAAAAACAAATGCCTTTGCTGTTTTTGCACAGATTAATTTTTTTCCTATTCATTCATTTGACCTCCCCCCATTGTGGTCCAGCACTACCCCTGGGAGCCCTCATTTGAACCTTTTAGACTTTGTACAACCTGAGAATGTCTCCATTTCAATATGATTAAACATGGCTGTTCTGTTCTTGGGGAAAAATGTCCTTTATATTTCTAGGCAAAACTTTGATTCCCAATTATGGCCCACCATATCAAGCCCCTACTTCCCGTTTATGACTTGAACAGACTTGAATCAACACTATGTGAGGATGCTTACTTTTATATATATGACCAACCATGGCTTTGTGGTTCTTAAAAAGAAGAATTTTAAAAAATTCCAGGTGTAATTATTCCTGTGAAAAACTTAAATCATCCATTGAGGGGTCGTGATTTTAACAAACTTGAATCTACTGGTACACTACCTGACTACCTGAGGATGTTTTCACATCAGTTTCATCTTTCCTGGCCCAGTGGTTCTGGAAAACAAGATTTTCAAAGATTTTGCCTATATATTCCTATGTAAATCTTTGATCTTCAGTTGTAGCTCAACCCTACCCCTGGGGGTCATGATTTAAACAAAATTGAATCTAAACTACCTGAGGATGCTTCCATAAATTATGAGTTTCATCTTTCCTAGCCCAATGGTTCCTGAAAAGATTTTTAAAAGATGCCATTAATTTTTCATTAATTCTTAATTATCTCCCCTTGATAGAGAGTTTGGGTCATGATTTAAACAAAATTGAATCTACACTACCTGAGGATGCTTCCACATGAGTTTCATCTTTCCAGGTCCTGCGGTTCTGGAAAAGAAGATTTTTTAAAATTGCCATTAATTTTTAACAAATTCATGATTATCTCCCCTTGGAAAAGGGCGTGGCCCTTCATTTGAACAAACTTGAATCCCCTTCACTCAAGGATATTTTGTGGCAAGTTAGGTGGAAATTGAACCAGTGGTTCTTGAGAAGAAGATGAAAATGTGATAAGTTTATGATGACGACAACAACAAATTTTGATCAGAAAAGCTCATTTGATCTTTTGGCTCAGGTGAGCTAAAAAGAGGTTGTTTTTTTTTAAAAAAAAGAACAAATCTGGTTTGGGAAACATGATACATGTTTTTATTCGGTTAAAACAATTTGATAAGCTTTCATGGTTGAGAGATATTTTGACATCAAGCTGTTAAAAAGGAGAGTGGCCCATTACTATAACTGAATGAACACTAAAACAGGATTTTACCTCAGAATTTAAATTGTAAAATTCTACACAGGAGAAGTCTACTACTGCACCCAACTTAACAATCACACAGAAGACTGTACATGAAAATCATAAGGAAAATATATAGAGAACAATAGTGTGCAACCATCTTTGGTACACGTGTAGATGTTTTCATCCCTTTTAATTTTTGTAGGCAGACTGTTTCACAATCTCACATGCTCCCTGTGATTCTTCACTTTAAATTTGAAAAAGATCCACTTTTGGAATACTTGGGAAAGAGATGATATACTTGAGAAAAAAAAGTTATTTTATGTTAATATCTAATCCATGGTTTCAGCAGAGTTTTTTTCTTTTTCTTCATTTTCTGTGCATGTATCTACAATTGCTCTGACTCTTTACTTGACAGTTTTCAGAGATTGTTCAATAACCTGCAAAAAGATTAAAATATGCAAAATTAAACCAAGTTATAAATTATTTGAAAATTCATGTAACATTCTATGAGGCTGAAAGTATTATAAAATAAATAAATGTGAATGTAGTGTAGTAGGAAAGGAGAAATGCATGAAGAAAACATATGGCTGGACCGGGAATCGAACCCGTGACCCCTGCATTACTAGTCAGGACTCAGGTGCTCTAACCACTGAGCTATCCAGGCTGATATCCACGGTCCGTATAGCTCGAACTTCTATATTCCTCCCTCCTTAAATAGTCTTCAACCTCAAGGACACAAGTTCTAGGGCCCTGCCAGGAATTATTAATTGACACAAACACTGTAACCTGAAC